AACACAAATAGCTAGACTCTAAACCCTTAACCCTAAACCCTCAACCCCTAAACCCTAAACCCTAAACCCTAAACCCTAAACCCTAAACCCTAAACCCTAAACCCTAAACCCTAAACCCTAACCCTGAACCCTAAATTTGCTCCACCGAAGCAGCAGATTCGGTAGATGCCCGGCAGGGACGTCAAGAACCGGGCCTCTCCCAAGAAGTGAAAGTCGCGACCATTTTCCGTCTCCAGCGTTCCGTTGCCTGGGTTTAGGGTTTAGGGTTTGAGGGTGGAGGGTTATAAGCGCCTGATTTATAGACCCTCTAATACCCGATACCCCTCATACTGGTGAGCCTACAAAATAAAACTATACGAGATCTTCCGGGGACAATACCACTACTAAGTCCAAGCACTCAAGGCGCCACTCTAGCAAAATCTTGTGGGCTTCAGGGCGTCGGGTATGGTTTAGGGAAGTATAGAGCTTGGTGCGCAGAGGGCTTTGGGTTTAGGTTGTAGGGTTGAGGGTTTAGGGTTTAGGGTTTAGGGTTTAGGGGGTTTAGGCTTTGATGTTTGAGTGTTGTTGTGGCCTAGAGCACCGGATGTGAATACTTTCCAGACCAGCACAGAGGGTGAAGAACATCTCAAATGAGCTTCAAGCTGAGCTGCAATATAGCTCAAAGGAGCAGTACTACTCAGTATGATTAAACACTCAGGCATCTATAGTCGATAGAAATGGGCCAAAAATTAGAAGCTGGACAGTAGTAGAGCCATATACTTCCAGCGGAGCTGACATTCTGATCCTTACAGTTCCCCCGTCGAGCTATTAGCCACATGTCCCCTGAATCCCCGAGTTTTTACTTAAAGGATCATGGGACTTAGTAAGTAGGGTTATAATTAGGGTAGCTATACTCATAACCCCAAATAAGGGACTTATAACCTTACTTACTAAGTCCCATGAACCTCCAAGTAGTAGCCACTGCATCTTTCGACGTTTTGTCCCGCCGAAGTTCGCCGTGCAGGGACAAGGAGAAGATGGAAAGGATCATGTAGGGCCAAAAAAAAGGCACATAAGCAAAGATTAGGATAGGGATATCCCATAGAAATCCCCTTATAAGGAAGCCCAATAAGGTAGGGATGTCCCTATAAAATGCTCATGCTTATGTTGTTTTGGTGTTCCTAATCATGAGCAGCATGCAATATCCGTTGAATACTGACACGGTTGTATCATATTGCAAAAGCCTCTCACTCCCACAGCCATTGAGGGTCCGCCCTTTCATAGCCTTGGACTTAGGACTCATTTTGCCTAAGCCCTTTAGAAGCAAACTGGGCAACAGATTCATGCTTATGATGACACTGCCTACCAGCACTACTGGCAACAGTCACAACAGCGGAGTACGTACAGCTTTCAGACGAGGAACAACCAGAGACGGCCCAAGTACTAACATCATCCATGTCCCATAACTGCCACCCCATCAACAACGAGAACTATACTTAATTTAACAATAAGCATACGGATCTGATGGCAATATTCGGTGTTTGCCATGCTTTGAAAACCTTGGAAGTCCGTAAGAAAAAGCCGCCACTTTTAAAACCCCTTGTAGGAACCCCTTACATCTTAGGGCTTCGGGTTTCTTACCCATTTTCGAACAGCTTCCAGAAACTTTTATCTTACTTGTTTCCTAAACAATAATCCCTAAACCCTAAACCCCCAGAAACTTTTATGTTACTTGTTACTATGCAGGCATGGCACTGGGAAAGCCTGGAAGTGCGCTCCCCGTCCTGTTGCAGACCCAGGGCTTCGCGGGGTTTCTTCGTAGTTTGGTGGGGCTCCAGGGGGCTTTGGGGTTTATAGGGGTTAGGGGTTTAGGGTTNNTTAGGGATTTAGGGGTTGAGGGGTTTAGGGTTTAGGGTTTAGGGTTTACGGTTTGGCCTTTTGCAGCTTTCCACAGGTCTCGCTTTGGGTTTTACAGTGGAGTAATGGGTTGTATCAGGGTCTTATGGGCGTTCATATGCCCTTTTTGTTTCGGGCTTTGCTTGTAGGATTTCCAATAGATCCCCGTATTATAAAGGGCTTCGGGTTTGGGGTTTGGGTTTAGGGCTGCGCATCTTCTCATGCACTCAATAAACCCGAACTAAAGGCTCAATAGTAGTGCGGGTTGACCTGGAGCAGGTTTTGCAGTCTCTCGTGGCGCCATGCGAGGCGGGGTGCAAGGTTAAGGGTTTTTGGTCCTGGCCAGTAAGTAAGGCTATAAGCCTTAAAAGGGGTTTAATAGTTATAAATATAGTTACCTTAACCCTTAAGCCTAAACCGCCTAAACCCTATACCCTAAACTCTTGATTATCATTATCACCCTAGTTGCTTAATCCCATGGCCCTCCAAGCAATTGTTCCCAGAAAGCCGATTACCTTCTCGTGAAGAAGAACCTTGGACCATTCATTTGGCTTTAGGGTCTCGGGTTTAGGGTTTTAGGCTTCGGATTTGGCCTCCTACTTGGAGGTTCATGGGTAGTTATAAGTAGGGTTATAAGTCCCCTAATATGGGTTATAATTATAGTTACCCCACTTATGACCCCACTTATAACTACCCATGAACCTCCAAGTACTGTGGTTTGAGGAACATGTACTTCTTACTCGCGGTGTGTTGGGCACTCTGGGCTAGACCCTAAACCCTAAACCCTAAACCCTAAAACCATCTGTGAACCAACGTCGTGATTCTGAATCCCTGTTTGTGCGGGTTTCATTTTCGAGATTCGGGCCTGGAATGGCCTGGAGTTCTTGGAGCGTCATGGGACTTAGCATTATAATGTCGGGTTTAGGGGTAAGGGCCTTAAGGTTACGGGTTAGGGCCTTAGGGTTTAGGGGTTAGGGTTCAGGGGTTAGGGCCTTAGGGTCTAGGGGTCAGGGCCTTAGGGTCTAGGGTTTAGCGTAAAGGTAGCTATGCCTATAATTACTTACAGCCCAAGCCGAGGTACGGACAAACTTACTTACTAAGTGATCCTCCAAGTATAGGGTCAATGGAACCGGACCGGTGGTGGGGCGATTCGAGTCGACACCCATGCCCTGAACCCTAAACCCTAAACCCTAAACCCTAAGCCCTAAACCCTAAACCCCAAACCCTAAACCCTAAACCCCAAACCCTAAAGAGCCAGAACCCCCGGAAGCGCCGACCGCACGCGGCCGACGGCCCCGGCAAGCGAACTTAAAGGATCATGGGACTTAGTTTAGGGTTTAGGGTCACTTAAAGGGTTCGTCGGCAGGTTGCCTAGTACTACTTACTACTACTACTACTACTACTACTACTACTACTACTACTAGCCACCCACCCCCTGGTTCACACAGACACTCAATC